GGGGGGGCGGGGGCCGGCGCCGTGGCTGGCCAGGGCTGCCCGGTGGGGGCCAAAGTCACGCCATGAGCCGGGGGCCTCTCAGGACACCCTCCAGGTGTCCTGTGTGTCGCCGGCCTGACGAGGGCAGGGGTGCGTCTGTGTCTGTGTGTCTGTGTGTCTGTGTGTCTGTGTGTGTGGCGTGTGTGGCGTGTGTGGCGTGTGTGGCGTGTGTGGCGTGTGTGGCGTGTGCCGCACAGGTCTCTGGGGCGGGGCCTGGGCACCCCGCCAGTCATTCGGGCGGCCGGGTTTCGGGGGAGCCCTGCATCTGGGGAGGTGTGCCTGGAAACAAGGCCATGCCGTTCGACCGGGCCTCGGTCGGCTGTTGCCACAGGGCAGAGTGGGGAGCATGCGGGGCCACCGGTCTGACGTCGCCCCCGCGTCCCCAGGCCGTTGGACTGGGTGAAATTAGCTATTCGCCCCTCTCTGTGTCTCTCTCTCCCTCGGTGTGCATCAAAGTGTGCTCGCGTGTATGCCCGTGTGTGTGCCCGTGTGCCCGTGTGTATGTGCATGTGTGTGTGAGCGATGCGGGCACGGCTCCGTGTCGGACACGCTTGCCGCCCCCAGCGCAGAGAGCAGCCCCCTTTTTGGGCGACCAGCATGGGCGGCACTGGCGCCCCGTGCCGCAGCACCTCCTGTTTGTGTCTCTGCCTCTCCCCCCTGACCCCAGATAGGATCCACCACCACCATGTTCGGCCTTACTGTCCGCTCGACTGCCGCTCTGCGCCAGGCCAACTTCCGCGCCTTCTCGTCTCAGGTTCGTTGGAGCTCGCATATCGCAATGCCTCGCGCGCGCGCGCGCGCACGGGGCGGCGACCCGCCCGACGCATGTGTCTGCTTGCTAACCTTTCCCCATCCTCCCCCCCCCCCCCTGCCGGTCGGCCTGCAGATCAGCTCCCTGAAGGAGCGCGTTGCTGAGCTCATCCCTGCCAAGCAGGCCGAGATCAAGGAGTTCCGCGATGCCCACAAGAACACCGTCGTTGGCTCGGTCACCGTCGACCAGGTGCGCTGCTCCTCCCCCTGCCCAATCCTCCTTTGGCCCCCTCGGCCCGCACTCCGGCCGGCCCTCCTCCGCTCGTGGGTCCTCTTTCTGAGCGTGGCTAACCACCTCTTGCGCGGGCCTTCCTCCCCACAAATAGATCTACGGTGGTATGCGTGACATCCGTGGCCTCATCTGCGAGACCTCTCTCCTCGACGCTCAGGAGGGTATTCGCTTCCGCGGCATGTCCATCCCCGAGGCCCAGGCTGCCCTGCCCAAGGCCCCCGGTGGTGAGGAGCCCCTGCCCGAGGGCATCTGGTGGCTGCTCCTGACCGGCGAGGTCCCGACCGCCGAGCAGGTCAAGCAGTGCGTGCCCTGTCGCCTCCCTTTGCTGCCCATGCCACCCGGTCTTCCATGCCCTGCGCCATTTTGTTCCCTGCTCACCATCCTCCCTTTCTCCCCCCCCCCTCCCCCCGCACGGCCAGGGTCTCCGCCGAGTGGGCTGCCCGCTCCACCCTCCCCAAGCATGTGTCCGACATGATCGACTCCATGCCCAAGACCGTGCACCCGATGTCCCAGCTGTCGGCCGCCGTCACCCTCATGAACTCCGACTCCTCCTTCGCCGATGCCTACAACCGTGGTGTCAACAAGCGCGAGCTCTGGAAGTATGCCTACGATGACTCCGTCGATCTGCTGGCCCGCCTGCCGGTTGCCGCCGCCAAGATCTACCGCAACCTCTACCATGACGGCAAGCTCGGCGCCGAGGTCGACGCCAACCTCGACTGGTCGGCCAACTTCGCCCGCATGCTCGGCTTCAACACCCCGGAGTTCGATGAGCTCATGCGTCTGTACCTGACCATCCACTGTGCCCACGAGGGTGGCAACGTTTCGGCCCACTCCACCCACCTGGTTGGCTCGGCCCTGTCCGACCCGTACCTGTCCTTCGCCGCCGGTCTCAACGGCCTGGCTGGCCCGCTCCATGGCCTCGCCAACCAGGAGGTCCTCCGCTGGATCACCGCCCTCAAGGACGAGATTGGCACCTACGAGCCCACCGACGAGCAGCTCACCGAGTTCCTCTGGAACACCCTCAAGGGTGGCCGCGTTGTCCCGGGCTACGGTCATGCCGTCCTCCGCAAGACCGACCCGCGCTACACCTGCCAGCGCGAGTTCGCCCTCAAGCACCTGCCCGACGACCCGCTCTTCAAGCTGACCAGCCAGCTGTACCGCATCGTCCCTGACGTCCTGACCCAGCACGGCAAGACCAAGAACCCCTGGCCCAACGTCGATGCCCACTCCGGTGTGCTGCTGACCGTGCGTGCTACTTCCTTCCCCCCCCCCCCGCCTCCGCCCTTTCGCGCGCCGCGCCCTGGCCGGCACACTTCTTGGGGTGTCCTTGTTGTTGTTGCCATGTGCATGCGCATGCCGCTGCGTCCCTTCTTAGGAGAAGATCCCCCCCCCCCTCCCCCCCTCCCGCCGCGCGCCCCGTCTCTGACCTCTCTTCCACGCTGGCTCTCATGCCTTTTCCCTCCCCCTCCATCGCCCACGCCATTGCCGCGCGCGGCTCACAGCACTACAACCTCACCGAGATGAACTACTACACTGTTCTGTTCGGTGTTTCCCGCGCCATTGGCTGCCTGGCTGACCTGGTCTGGTCTCGTGCCCTCATGTTCCCCCTGGAGCGCCCCAAGTCCGAGACCACCGAGTCCCTCAAGGCCATCGTCGCTGGCAAGGCCGAGTAAGGAGGCACTTTGATGTTGTGTCGCCGCACGCGCGTGTGTGTACATGTGTGTCCTTTCACCTCGCCCCTTGCGGTGTGTGCGTTCGTGGTCCCTCTCTGGCGCGCGACGCACGTCGGTGTGCTGTCTTGTGGTGGTGTGCGATGGCGCTCGTGTCGCCACTGTACAATGCAATCGTCGCTACGAGATGTGTTCCTCCTTTTGCCGTTTGTCACTTTCGGGGACGCGCCTGGGCGTGCGCCCACAAGCATCCGTATCCCGGGGTTGTTGTCTCTCTTGAGCGAGGCAGAGGGAGAGCGAGAGAGAGCGCGAGGGGGGGGGAGAGAGCATTGTAGGTGGCACGCGAGGGGCAGGGGGGGAGGAGAGGGCGATTGGCCAGAGCAAGCGGACGGCGCGAAACCAAGCCACCCAGCACCAGGACGGCCTCGGGGGGCCGGAGGGCGGAGGGCGGGCCGTCCCCAAGGCGTCAGCGAGAGCCCGGACACAGGTGCGCGGCGTCACATCTGGGCCGAGCGGAGGCACGCCGCCAGCCCGGGGAGCCCCCTCTCCTGATCGCCGGGCATTTTCTTGGCACCCAGGGAGGAGACGCCAGTTCGGTGGCCACGTGTGGCAGGATCACATGGACAAGAGAGGCATGTAGTGGAATCCCCATGTAAACGATAGATGAAGCAACACGTGAGTGAATTGCCACACGTGTTACATCGCGGGAAAGATAGCATCCCAGAACAGCATTCCCCGGAGAGGAATGCGGGGTAGAACAACAGCCAGGTGGCCGCCGAGGCCGAGCGGCATAAACGCTCGACCGAGGACGGAGATACGCGGGTGGGCGGGCCCAGCCGCGGGGTTCTCAGTTCCAACCCCTGACCGAGCCCAAAGGTCAAAAAGGGGGACTCTCGTTGAGAGCCTCCTGAGAGCGAAAGCCTTAGCAGCTGTGTGTCGAAGAGTATACGGAAGTATAGCCGAAGCACCAGTTAGGCCGACGAACACCTGTTCTAAGGCTTCCTCTCGAACCCTTTTTAACATCCGAGTTCCTTTCTATTTTCGCTTGCCACTAACTCGTCTCAAGCCGAGTTACTGACTCATCTGGTAACAGACGACCGTGAACCGCTGGT